AATGCAAAAGGCATCTAGCATACCCAAAATATAGAACATTTATACTCATTCTTTGTAGTTTTCGGGCAAGAAGGTTCAGTTATTGTTTTTAGACCGATCAGCGTATCACTAAAAGAAATCAATTTGTTTCAACCACCATCGAGTCGGTCAAATATAAATTATAAAGCCACTCTGAATTTAAAGAACAATCCCAGGATTTCAAAACAATCTACAAAGTGACCTCTATGTTTTCCACGTATGTTCGATGAATGTAAAACAAGGTTATCGTAGCCATTTTACATCTGTAAATCTAACTGCATAAAGTTGTAGTTTGATGTAGTAGTCAGAAATAGAACTCTCTCTCTGAGTCCTTTTTATTTTCATTTTTCAGTTATGGCGGAGGGATTCACACCAGTAACTGGAGTAAAACTTGATTGTGATGAAAGCACATCTAATGGTAAGAAAGAAGGGCCCTGCTCACAAATTCAACAAATTCGACTGTTTAAATCACGAAATCTTGTACATTTTCTACATGTTGTACAAAGGTGACTTTTCCGTGATTGGATAACCTCATCTTGACACTAAGGGAGTGTTGGAAAGACCCTTTGCTCAGAATTTCCCGGAAACATCGGACAGCAGCAATTCTTACGTGCGTTTTACTATCTCCGTTTCCTTAGCTAGTTTCGAGCCCCCAATGCAGTTGGTCGGGCTTGCTAAAAGTGGCACCTTGTATATACAGGCGTACGGTTATAACCTATCAAATTTTGGTCGTTTGATCAACTTTTTTCAGCTCGATGGGTTTCTGTTTTATTACCATTTTCTATAAGGATGGGGCTACACTGTGACGCTGCGAGTTCCGCTATGAAATCTTAAGTATCGAGGCTGACAAAAAAAAACCATTTGACAGACTAAAATGCTTTTATCATATATGTTAATTGAAGATATGGCAGAGGATTCCGAAGATAAAGAGAGACTCGACGATGCCACTTTGAGAGGTAAGAATTTTCACTCTTTCTCAGTGGTGGCGAGGTAATGAGACTCAAAATGAATCCTGCGGTTCCTACTTCATCAAGTCCAGTCCAACAAACGGCAGCGTTAGTTATTCTTTTATAATTGAAGCCTGCTTTTAATCATTATTAGCCAACCTTCATGAAATTGCTTCCTGCCTGTGGGGTCCTTTAACATGGCCACATTTGATTAACTTTCTCACGAGAGTCGGAATGAAGTGGTAGGAAGTCCATAATAAAACGGGGAACCTAAATATTAATTTACAAATTCATTTGTTTTACTCAGAGTCATATTTGCGCCTATTTCATTGTTTCCTCTTTATTGATTAGACACGCCAGTCAGTTTTACGGAGCTAAATTTTTTCAGTTTCAAGAAATTATTTACGGGTGCAAATATTTGTGAAAACTTTAAGAATGAAATGTATATCACCCGCCAATAGAATGAAATAAACAGAAAATACGAGACCGAATAATGGCGTCGTAGATAGCTTGTTGCTATCATGGAGATAATTTAGAGAGAACAAAGAAAAGCTTTAAAGATTTACAGGTCTGCTGCACTTTCCAATTAAGCAGCAGCATTCAAAATTGTCCATATTGTAACCAATTATACTCCTTAGCTGATATTTTGCTTCAGGTCCGTGATTTCGAATGTAGCTACACTAATTTCATTATGATCTGGCAGAACATTTTCCACAGATCTCATTAAAGACGGAGCTCCACAAAATAGAGATCACTCCTCTTTTTTTCGATGATAAGAAATTAAGATATTTTTCCTCAATCTCATTCACTGTTTAGCGAAAGCAAAAGTTTTTCTCGAGAAAGGCAACGAAGCTTACAAACAAGAAAAGGATTACACATGCGCAGTCCATTTTTACACGCAAGGCATTCACGTGGAGTGCAAAGATACCCGACTTATCGCCAAACTATACAGCAACAGGGCAGCAGCTCATTTCCATATGGGTAAGAATGTTTTTCCTATATCATTTTTGCTTTCATTTAGGATGTTATGACTGTGTCTCATGGCTACTTTGTCTCCATGACAACATTAACGTATACAGTTGGGTCACAAGGATCACTTTACTAGTTTTTACTGCATTCTTACAATCGGCTGTTTTTTTAACTGAACAAGCAATTTTGTACCATTTCGATTTCCAAGGTCACTCATTGAATCTGATGATTTTGGGTCCTCCTTGTTTGAGAATAGTAACTATATATAGTAACTAAAATGCTGTCGGAATCCCCCCATATGCAAGAGAAATAGCGGGTCAAGACCAAGAGCTGGAAAATCATGGCTTCTTCTTTAATCAATAAGAGGAAAAAGATAGATTGATTACAAATATTTCAGCCCAAAAAGCTCCATAGAGGAGAGTTTGAACAAAAATCATTACTCTTGCAGTTCAAACATTTCGAGCCAGCTTTTAAAGAGAACAACATCATTGCAAGCTCTACCCCTTGTAGATTAATATAGGACGGGTAGAGGTGTTGGAAATTGAATATCATTTATACGGGCTGCTTTGTAAGCTAGCGGTCGACTCTCTCTTTTTAATATTCTTTACATTAAACAACGAATTGAATTTAAATTTTTTTTCTAAGGAAATTACCGAGAAACACTGGCAGATGCAAAGCTTGCTCTTCGACTGGAGCCAACACTCATAAAAGCTATAGAACGGGGTAGGTTTTTTTCGTAGCTGGTGGCGAGTTGTGTTACTTTAGCTCATGGCATGGTATGCTCCCTGTCTAAATGGGTGTATGTCGCAGACATCCCCAGACATTTCTGGAGATTAGAAAGGATAAGAATTTTAATAAAAAAATTATCTCCGTGAAGCGTGCCGCGTGTACCTGCATGAAATCTGTTGGCTAAATCCATGGAATGCTACACGAGCGAATTAAATCAAGGAATCACAAAGCTTTTCCACAATGAGTAGCTTCTCTAGCATGGAAAAAGCCAGGCTCTATGGTCGGGTCTCTCACTTTGTTGATGCAGTATTTCTCAGTTAGTTTCCGCCTTGGCTGTGACCTGATCCTCTATTGTTCTCTTGCCTTTATTACGAGGGCATGTGACTGTATCTGCCGCGATATGATATCAGTAATACCTCAGTTCATGTATATGATTTTTCATATATTCACAGTTATTGATTCATCTCTTCGCGAGTTTATTACGAACAAACATGATGACCATATACATCCATACATGCCTATACTTTATTTAACCTCGAATTTAGAGTAGCTAAAGCCTTATATAACCAGCTCCCAGTTGGCTTGTTAGCTTAGTTGGTAGAGCACTGCACCGGTACCGCAGGGTTCATGGGTTCAAACCCCTCACAAGCCTGAAATTTTTTCAGGCCTTATTTTCACTATTGCTTAAGTAGTGTTCATTACTGCGATGATCGCTTTTGTATTCATTTCTTTGACCACAGTACACATATTATATGATTTTCATATATTCAGCCGGAGAGTTCTTTTGGTTGATGGTACGAAATAATATGATTTGAATTAGAACTGTAACTACACCTTTGACTTAGAAAGCAGTCGAATGTTACATAGCCAAGAGTTGTTGTTATTTTCTTTCTTTAATAAGTTTCAAAGTTTTTTCAACTGAGTAGACCTACCCTTTGTCAACATTTTCCTTTTAGGAGCTTCTGCTTGTGTAAAACTAAAGCTGTTTGGAGAAGCAAAACTCTTATGTGTCGGGGGACGTATGGTATCCTTTAAGGAAATAGAATTAATCTATAGTTTCCACATTTTTTTCTTGTTTTTTGTCTTTTATGCCCACCAGATAGGATTACTTTTTATGTTCTGTTCCCTTCAGTTTTGATCATAAATCAAAGAAAAAATTGCGAACGACTTAAGCTTTAAAATACGCAATTAGACAAGTGAAATCAAGGCAATGTGTAACTTAGAGTCTTGGATTAGTTAGAGTGCTATCACTAACCGTCTCCCAAGTAGTCAGCCCCAGGATTTCAAGTTCTTCAACCTTGACCTTCATAAAGATTGATTGCAGCAGGAAAACCTTTGCGGAAGTTTTGACAAAATGTGCTGTTGAGTCACTAGAGGGCTCGCAAGAAACGCATGAAAGAGAAGGAAAAATTCATAACCACGCTACAGCGATACAAGTTAGTATTGAAAATATTATATATGGTTTTTTTCTATGGTAATGCATGTTGATAAAGCCACACGAGGCCAAAACAGAGGAACAAATATCATTACACCAGCTTCCATTTCAAGGTTCATGTGTTCAGTGCTAAGTTTTAGGTTCCACCACAGTTTGTCTTCCCATTTGTAATCAGGTCTGCGAATATTACAATTTACAAATTTTGATGAAAATAAAATGAGTAATTTATTTACTCAAGTAACCTTTATAGAAAACATATTGTGAGGTGAGCAGATGGCAGCTACCCAAGGGCTTCACCATTAGAGTCAAGGAAACAACACAACTTTCATAAAACTAACAAACCGGACATCCACAATGTTTATGACTTTTGCATACTTCTCGCGTTGGCCTTGCATGCTGCTCTAAATGATGTTAATTCCTAACCTTAGGTCTTTACAAGCCACCATATTCCCATAGAGTACATTGAGCTACTTCTATCAATTGCTGAAAAAACGGGAGACAAAGCTCAAGAACGTAAATTTTGTGAATTGCTCGGCAATGCTTATGAAGGATTAGGACAAATTCAAACAGCCATCAAGTATCATGAACATGCTCTAATCATCGAAAAAGAGGTGGGAAACATAGAGGTAGTAGGTAAACGTTATTTCAATCTCGGTAATGCTTATGGAAGATTAGAACAATTTCAAACAGCCATCAAGTGTCATGAACTTTCTTTAAACATCGCAAAAGAAGTGGGAGACATAGATTTAGAAGGGGAAAGTTATTCCAGTCTCGGCTATGGTTATGAAGGCTTAGGACAAATTCAAACAGCCATCATGTATCATGAACATGCTCTAAACATCGCAAAAGAAGTGAGAAACAAAGCTGGAGAAGGTAAAAGTTATTCCAGTCTCGGCAATGCTTATCACGAATTAGAACAATTTCAAACAGCCATCAAGTATCATGAACTTTCTCTAGACGTCGCAAAAGAAGTGGGAGACAAAGATAGAGAAGGTAAAAGTTATTGCAATCTCGGCAATGCTTATGGAAGCTTAGGAGAATCTCAAACAGCCATCAAGTGTTATAAACATGCTCTAAACATCGCAAAAGAAGTGAGAAACAAAGTGGTAGTAGCTAAAAGCTATTGTAATCTCGGCTTTGCTTATAACAGATTAGGACAATTTCAAACAGCCATCAAATATAATGAACATGCTCTAAACATCGCCAAAGACGTGGGAAACAAAGATGTAGAAGTTAAAAGTTATTGCAATCTTGGCAATGCTTATCACAGTTTAGGAAATTTTCAAACAGCCATCAAGTATTATGAACATAATCTAAACATACACAAAGAGGTGGGAGACAGAGTTGGAGAAGGTAACAGTTATGGCAATCTCGGCAATGCTTATGAAGAATTAGGACAATTTCAAACAGCCATCGAGTATTATGAACTTTCTCTAATCATCGCAAAAGAAGTGGGAGACAAAGATTTAGAAGGTACCAGTTACTGCAATCTCGGCAAAACTTATGAGGAGTTAGGACAGTTTCAAACAGCCACTAAGTATCTAGAGCATGCCCTAAAGATCGCAGAAGAATTAGGAAAAAAAAGTTTAGAAGAAAAAGTTTATGGTAATCTCGGCGTTATTAGTGACAGATCAGGAAAATCTCGGGAAGCCATCAAGTTTTATGGACGTGCCCTAAACATCACAAAAGAAGTGGGAGACAAAGGTGCAGATCGTGATATTTATTTCAATATCGGCATTGTTCATAGAAATTTACGAGAATTTCAAAAAGCCATCGAGTATTACGAACTTTCTCTAAACATCGCAAAAGAAGAGGGAAACAAAAATATTGAAGGTAAAATTTTTTGCAATCTCGGTCTTTTAAAGCATCGTTTAGGAAACACTGAAACAGCCGTCGAGTACTTTGTACGCGCTTCAAATATTACAAAAGAAGTGGGGGATAAACTTTCAGCAGCTAAATCATTACTAGGTCTCGGTGAAACGCTGTGTACCAGAGGAAATCTCCACGAGGCTTTCAATTGCTTTCACTCTAGTTTACTTATGCTTCACGAGATCAGGGCAAATTTTCAATCTAAAGAGGAGTGGAAGATTAGCTTCCGTGATACGAGTGTGGATTCATATACTCCATTGTGGCAGCTACATTTAAAACTAGGCGAAGAGGTTCTGGCTCTTCACACCGCTGAACAAGGTCGTGCAGAAGCTCTGAGAGATCTCCTAGAATTAAAGTATGGGTATGAAGAAGAACACTGCCAGTCATTCTCTCCACAGAAATCTACAATTACCCTCTTGAGTTGCCTTCCACCAAATACAGTCTTTATAGCAGTTGACCATGGAACTATTTTCTACTGGGTTGTTCAGAATGGCAAAGAAGTGACATTTAGAGCAAACCGAGTTAATAATTATATTTCAAAGGAGGAGGTTACCATTTTCATTGAAATGGTTCTCGGAAAAATTGGAATGAAAGTTCATGTCAAAGATGAAGACCGTTCGTACTTTGAGACGTGCGATCAAAGAGGCAAAAACGATTTTCTTTACAGTAATCCTTCCCCGGAAGACATATTGAAGAAACTCTACGAGATCGTCATTGCGCCAATCGAAGATCTCGTGGAAGGAAATGAGATCTGCTTGGCTCCCGAAGGTCCATTGTGGTTGGTCCCCTATGCTGCATTGCTGGACTCCGAATCAAAACATCTGTGCGACTCTCTCCGGATCCGAATGACTCCATCCCTGACCACTTTGAAACTGATCAGCGATTGCCCAGCAGATTTCCACTGTAAGACAGGTGCACTGCTCGTTGGTGATCCATATTTGGGTGAAGTTCTTTACAAGGAGAGGAAGCTGTCTGAGTTACCAGGCGCAAGAAAAGAAGTCGAGATGATTGGAGATATCCTAGGAACTGATCCCCTTGTTGGAGAAAACGCGACAAAAGTGGAAGTGATGAAGCGACTCTCCTCCGTCACCTTAGTGCACATTGCAGCGCATGGTCGAATAGGATCAGGTGAGATCTTTTTGGCGCCAAACCCTACACGGACCAATCAACAACCGGAAGAGAAAGATTACTTACTGACCATGAAAGATGTGTCACAAGCTAAGCTACGAGCAAGACTGGTCGTGCTAAGTTGCTGTCACAGCGCAACCGGGACAATAATGGCTGAGGGTGTGGTTGGCATCGCGCGAGCTTTCATGGGTGCGGGTGCTCGCTCTGTGTTGGTGTCACTGTGGGCGCTTGGTGACGAGGCTACTCTGGAGTTCATGAAACACTTCTATGGAGAACTTTTACAAGGAAAGAAAGCCAGTGAAAGTCTACATCGAGCCATGGAATGCATGAAAAAGTCTGAAAAATACAAGGACATGATGTTTTGGGCCCCATTCGTCCTTCTTGGTGATGATGTGACATTGGAATTAACCAAAAATGACACCGTCTAATTTCGCAGTAAGTGAACTCTGACATAAAATTATTGCTGATACGATAGAGATTGAGATTATCACACATAAATGCATGCTTTCGTTTCATGATTCTACAAATGAACATATGAGACGTTCTTGGAAAGGGAATGTCTTGAAATCAAGCATTGCCAACTCAGAATTAAAACGAATTTTTTCCTCAACCGAGTACCGAGTTCACTTGTAGTGAATATGTAGTCAGCTTTTGCCAGTAAACCTAAAGATGGAGAGCTGAAGATGAATTTGACGCTATGAAAACCGTCTTTACTGAGTAAGTAGAAATTATCATGGCACTTTCGTAGTTATTTTAACATTGGTGGCTCTTTAATCTTTCCCCGTAGATTCAGACCAGGACCAATTCAGCATGGTTGACTAATTTGACTGCGCGTCGTATCTACCTCCTTGACGAAATATTTTGAGTTATCTTCAGAAGAAAGACACAAGGACTATAGTGCTGTCAGATTAGTGCTACCTAAATGATTAAGATAAAAGCAATTTTAAGATAAAAGCATGCATAGGAAAGGAGAATTAAGTTTACAATCCTAAGAAGTTAATAGACATTCCTAAAAATGACAGCGCCGTTTTGGTTAATAATGAGGTGGTTTTTCAGGAAATGTACGGTATTCACGCAATTTTTAGCGTGTTCGTTTCAAAACGAGTTTTTTGATAATCTGATTTCAGTTTATTTTATATCACTGATGACGACTGAGGAGCCATTCTCCGCAAGAATCAACTAAACTTTTTTTGAAATTTTTTACTCTCATGCTAATTGAAATATTTCATGCAGTTAGATATGAAAACATGTTAAAAATGGCTTAATCAGTTTTTTTTATCTTTCAACGCTGAATAAGCGTTCCGCCATGGACACAAAAATTCGAGATAATTACGGTAATTAAACGATCATTTTAATAACCGATGGCATTCTTGTGTCGAAGAAGTTACGAGTCTTCATCCACCCTTTTAAAAGTGCTCTTTTTTCTTCGATCGGAGCTGATCTTATTTCTATAATTTCCCAACTCGGAAATACAGATTAATTTGTACAAATCTCTAAAGTCAAGTTTTCTTTTTCCTTAAACTCAACTAACGTTTTCCCTTCACCTCCCTGGTTCAAACTAAAATAACATTAGCCTTTGTTTCGTGTGTCTTGCTCGCCACAAGACGAAAAACATCTTTCTATATTACTTTACCAAGCTCAAAACTTACCATGTTTTTTATCCTTTACAAAACATGACGTCATCGACATTGCCGATGCCACCAGTATGCTGGACCCGTGTCATATATATCTATATATGAACTTCTTTATGGGCCTTGCTCATGAAGGAGTCCCTATGTCGATTTACAACACTAAATATTTCGAAATATTTTACATTGTACTCGTAAGATCGATAAAACTTACTCACTCCGTATGTGTGAGTTGTAGTTTTTGGTGATTTCGGCCGTTTTGGGCTTGTCTCTTAACACGAGACGTGAGCTTGAGACGCCAGTGCGTCCGCATGTCATATGATAGGCCTGCAAAGCGTGTAAAAAATATCCGCAAGCAACATGATAATTTGTCTTAACCTTTTTTTCCTGTGACACGACACGTTTGGGAAACAGGAATCACGTGAGAAATGGCACTCAATTTTTTCAATGCGTTCCTTTTTACTCCCTTACACGGTGTTCCATTTTATCAATCACTACTGAGCTTGAAAACCTTTTTGTCGACTGGCTATCGCTCGAAACGTCAGTTTTAGAAAATCTTTTTCCGCGGCCAATTCACATTTCGAACTCATTTGATAAAACCAAGTTATTATGTATTTTTCAACTTGCAAATATAATTTCTTGAACAAAGTTACTGTAGAGCAAAGGAAAAACTGAAGTAAAGAGTTTCTGAAGCTGACATCACGAGCATTAGCCCCAACACTCGTAATGTCAGCTTTAGAAACGTTCTAAGTTGGCAACCTCACATGATCAATTCAATCGAAAAAACCAAGTTATTATGTAGTTATTTCTACGCAACAGTAATACCTTCAACAAAGTGCAGCAAAAAAGTTGAAAATATCTATTACTTGCATTGTTTGTAGCGATTCTGCCGACTGCGGAACCGAACTGCGACTTGAAAAGGCAAGATCACCACACCAAACTACACTTAAAAAACTCGGTAGATACCTAAATGAATAGACTTAAACAGATCTGGTTGTCGCGCTTCAGCAACTAAAAACAATTCAGCCTACAGCAAGATAAACGGAAATGTTATATTCAGGATTTACTCTGATTGTTTTACACCAATTCTGAACGTAATTGAAGTTCTATCAAAAGCTAACAAGTAACGACAGTCAATTTTTTGATGCAAAATACCTTGAACTTGGTAACTTTGCAAAATATCAATTACGCACGACTTCTGAGTGTATCACTGAAGTCTACTCAACTGCAGAAGACTATGCATGGAATGTTGTTCCTTCCGCTCAATAACGTTAAAATTTTTTTTTTCTTCCATTAATAAGAAAAGTAACTGAATGCTTTTTCAACTAAAATAGAAAGTCTTCAGCAGTTTGTTCCATGTAGATCTGGGTAAATGTTTACCAAACGCCAGCCGAACTATCTTTTGTACGGTAAACAACAATATCCTCATCACTTCATTTATGTATATTATAACATGGTTAGTTAATTTAAGTCTTCTTGTGCTCCTTCGATAAATTTTACAGCCTCCGTTTATAAAAAAGCAAAGATGCTGTCAGTGGGTAGTCTAGTTTCGGGATTCTGAATAACTGAGGAAATCAAACCATATCCTTCGTGTATCAAGTATCCGCCGGCTCTACTCCAATGTTTATGGGTCCATCGCCAAATGCTGCAAAATTGCATGTAATATCAACCAATTGCTTCCCAAAAATAACAAGACGAAAAACTCACTGGTGCCCTTTAAAAGAAATGAAAACTGCACTGACCAGATAAAATCACATGATATTACAGCAGTCACGAAACAAACATTATGAACAGGGAAAACAAAGGTGGTTCCGCTATTAACCCTAAATATATGTCACGGTGTTGTCCATAAACACAATATAAAATATAGGGGGGGGGGGGAAAGTAATTGATGAATTTTAAAACCTCCCTGGAATATTTACAGTAACAATAACAGAAAGAAAATTCTACAGGAATACTTCGAAAACCTAATTTCTCCCAGATAACTCAACTATTTAATTATGCACGGGTGCCCAGCAACATTCAAAGTAATGTTATTTTTTTTATGCTTCATCGCACCAATTCAATAGAAAGTTAAAGGTTATGGAGAACGAAAATAACACAATACAGTAAATGGTTTGAACCCAGGGGTAACATGTGAAGGTGTAGTCTGATCGTCCGGATGAGTGTAGTCCTGAGAAGGACTGTTGTCGGTGGTAGTGACTGACGTTTCGACAACCTGTGCGGAAGTCATCATCATAGTCACATCACGGCAAAACCAACAGATCATTTCACACGAACTGGAATAAGAACATTCTACTGACAACAATCATTCACTTGACTCTGATGATGACTTCCGCACAGGTTGTCGAAACGTCAGTCTCTACCACCGACAACAGTCCTTCTCAGGACTACACTCACCCGGACGATCAGACTACACCTTCGAAAATAACACAGTTGTTTGTTCCGCAATGCCTGGAGCAAGGCAACTTTGCAGAGCAATTTTATATGACCTCTTCGAGTAATCATTCTATTGAATTGATCAGGAAAGGTAGGAATGACGTTCCTTCCGCTTCCTAATGACTCAACGTTTTACAATCTTCCGTTAAAGTAAGTGGAAGACGTTTTAAAAGAATCCAAAACGCCTTGTCACGTGATCGAGCATGACATTATAAAAGTAAACAATTCCGTGGTAATCGTCAATTGCCCTCGCTGACAGCCTTGGGTTAGATCGTTCGTCCTTTCTTTAAAGGTGAGTATCTATGAATATGAACGAAAATATTCATCATTGTTACATGATAAACCTTATCGAGTTAACAGACTTAGCTTTCAAGGTCCAATCTTAAAAGGACATTGACAACCTGCAGAAAAAGATGGTTCGCCTAAAAATGTAACGACTTGGAGTTCATTTGTTTCTTTTAAACAGAATTGAGAAGACTTTGTTTACATTAACTGCGCGGAAGGTGTTCAAGAACTTGTAGTAAGGAAATTACGTAAAAACTTTTGTAGTTGTCTCGACCTGATGACACTGTCGAATAATCTTGTCCGCAATTAACAGTCATTGCCTCGTGTCATAGTTCAGTAGCAGAATGTTTTAGAGAACGGTTCCGAAGGGTTTCGAGACGTGTTTATGTTTCAGAGCCGTTCCTTAGGATCTCGAGATTAGTTTAGTGATTATTTTCGGTGTTCCGTCCGACCAAGAGCCGAGACAACGATCTTTTTGTTACGATTTTCGAATAAATTTGTGATGTGTCTGTTTCAAACACACCTAGTCCGATTTGTTTATATATTTTAATAGTCTATTGCTTTCTGCTTTTCTGTCCTACTTCAAAAAAGGTCACCTGGTAGTTCAGGCGATAGTTTTCTTGATTCACGCTTAGCTGCAAAACAGACTTGTCATCAATTATCTCCCAAATGGCAAAAACTACTGAATTATGTCGTTTTGAACATTCCGGACTAAAAATGTGCAATATTCTCCGGGTTTATTTTGGGTGCCAGTGCCCTTATCTTTGAAACTTTTTTTTATTTGCTTTTGAGGATGAGGTCTGTGTTTTTTCGTTCACAGACGGTCTCAGTACAAGGAGAACATGACAGATCCAGTGATACCAGCCGACCAGCTGGGCCAACAAGTTCTGGACGATGTTTTCAAATCAATGCCACCCACAAAGCGAGGAATTGCCATTGGAATCGCCAATGAAACACCTTACAAATGGAGTGGAATGAGTCCCTATTTTCGTTCTGGTAAACCTGGTTCAAATATGATCCCCGAATTCGTGAAAAGCAAGGAAGCAGCTCTGTATACTGCCACAAAACGATGTGGCGAAGCAACAGGAAGTGTAGGGGTGCTTACCTTCTTCATCCCAGAAGACAAAAAGACCGTGGCAGTCATGTTCAGTGTACCATTCGACCGCAATTTGTACAGGAATTGGTGGGATGCTAAAGTTTATCGTGGTAAGAAGGAAGCTGACCACGATATGTATTCTTCTATNCAAAGACAATGCTGACACTTATAGTTACATCTAATCTACCAACTATAGTGCTTACGGTACTTAAGTCCGAGTAACTAGAGATCATCAGAGATCGTCAGATCAAATTTTTTGACTCCATTTTAAACTTATTCGTCATTAAACGAACATAATTTTATCCTATTCTGAATAGAAGCGATATCATCTGTAGATCCAAAAAATTTTGATCGGATTATTTAGACAAAGCTTAGCCGTTTTTTAAAAAAACCGCGTCCTAATTAAACAATCCTCAGTTTAGCTGAACCTTTTACCTAAACATTTAATTCTGTGAACACCGTCGAGAGGGCCGAAAGCTAACAGTGGAAGGACGTTTATTTGATCAAATCAACCCTCTTATATAGAGAAAGACTGAGGCCAACAGATTGCGTAAACCGCGGTTTGAGCAAGAACTCGTGTAAATGAATGAATGTGTCGTAAACCTCCCTCACCCTCCCTCCCATGGAGTAATCATATGTTACGTGGGGAACGACAAAATGCCAAACTCTTCACCAGTTTCACTCCCAAGATCTAGTTAGTAATTCTCCTTACTGTCCGCCATACAATTCTTATTAGGTAAGTTAGGAGAATTAGATATTGGATCAACTAGTAATCCCTATTTAGCAAGTTTTCTTTACTCTCATCACTTGTCTGCTTGATATTGTGTTGATATTGTTAGGAGAAATTCTGTCTTGGTCACCAATGAGAGTTAAAGGTTTGTGCACAAACCTCAAGCGCAGTTGTTAGCAGAACATTCTCCAGTAGATGAACAACCTTTGTTTAGACAAAAAAAACGGTCTTCACAAGGACAACCAGGTCCAAAACCACCGCAGTCTGGGCAGATACTAGCTATAAAATGGACAAAATTGTTATAAAAAAAAATGAGGACTACTAGACGAAGGAAAGCAAGCTCTCTCACTGATTGCAATTAATAAAGTTTTAAATTTCACATTCTTGGAAGAGACTGAAAGGCTACCCACTACAGATGGAAACATAAGGTTTTACAGCTGTTTTTCACCGTCATTAATGGCGGATCTAGGAAAGGGGGGAGGGGCCCACCGCCCCCCTCCCCCCACTTCCTTCCTATTTTGGGTAAAAAAATTAATGCAGAAACAAGAAAAGCCGGCAGGTGTACACACACAAAAAAAACTCCCCCCCTATCGCCGACCCCGTCTTCCTCCAACTTATTTTCTTGATGGCGTTAGCCATGGTTTCAGATGGAAAGTCGCGGAAGAATGCAGAAAACGCGGAAGAAAAGAAGTCGTAAAAAGAAAAGAATGTCGAGAAAGAAAAAAAAAAATTCTATCTACCACCCCTATAATCATATCGCAAAGGAAAGACAAGTCATTCAAATGTATCTTAGCCAGAGTTTAACTTCAAGGGTACAATGGCAAGGCCAGTGATCGTGTATGCCCGTCAACACTTTTAATAAAAGAAACTGGTGGTGAATAGAAAAGAGAAGACACAGATATGTTAGAAGAAGTCGTAGATGGAAAGGGAAGCTCGCGGAAGTAAAATAAAAAATTGCGGAAGAAAGATAAAGTTGCGGAAGTCGGTGGCCATTGTCTGCGAGGGAAACTGTGCCCTACACCCAAAAGAAGAATACCCATGGGTATTCTGGGTACCCAGTTATCTCTGGCACGTGATGCGGCCTCGCCTCCGTCAGCAAAGATCGATTTTGCGCAGCGAGTGGGCGTCATTGGTATCAGTATCACATGAACAGGTCACATGTCCTAAAGAAGACCACTGTTAACCGGTTATCGAGTACAGAGGCCATGACGTTTTT